CCGGCCCATCCTCAGCAAACCTCTCAGAAGGCCCTGGAGGAGCAGGGATGAGACGTGGGGCGGGATCCATGGATCCTTGGGATAATGGAGAGGGCGGGATCCATTGAGCCATGGAATATTGGAGAGGACAGAATCTATGGAATGTTGGAGAGATCATGATCCATGGATCCTGGGAATGTTGGAGAGGATAGATTCCATAGATCCTCATGGATGGGGAGCAGAATCCATGGAATGTTGGAGAGACCAGGATCCATGGATCCATGGAATGTTGGAGAGGTCAGAATCCATAGATCCTGGGAATGTTGGAGAGATCAGGATCCATGGATCCTCATGGATGGAGAGCAGAATCCATGGAATATTGGAGAAATCAGGATCCATGGATCCATGGAATATTGGAGAGGATAGAATCTATGGATCCTTGAAATTATGGAGAGATCAGGATCCCTGGATCCATGGAATGCTGGAGACCTCAGGATCCATGGATCCATGGAATGCTGGAGAGATCAGGATCCATGGATCCATGGAATGCTGGAGAGATCAGGATCCCTGGATCCATGAAATATTGGAGAGGACAGAATCCATTGATCCTTGGAATGTTGGAGAGGGCAGAATCTATGGATCCTTGAAATTATGGAGATGGCAAAATCCATGGATCCTGGGAATGTTGCAGAGATCAGGATCCATGGATTCTCATGGATGGAGAGCAGAATCCATGGAATATTGGAGAGATCAGGATCCCTGGATCCTGGGAATGCTGGAGAGATCAGGATCCCTGGATCCTGGGAATGTTGCAGAGATCAGGATCCAGGGATCCATGGAATATTGGAGAGATCAGGATCCCTGGATCCTGGCAATATTGGAGAGGATAGAATCCATTGATCCTTGAAATTATGGAGAGATCAGGATCCATGGAATATTGGAGAGATCAGAATCCATGGATCCATGGAATATTGGAGAGATCAGAATCCATGAACCCTGGGAATACTGCAGACCTCAGGATCCATGGATCCTCCCGTGTGACGAGCACCGTTCCCCCGGGGCCATCTCCCGGTAATTCCGGTGGGATTTGCCCACGGAACGATC